CACTTTCGCAGCGCTCGGGCGGCCCGTTGCGTGACCTCTGCAGCTTACAGGGCAGTGCTGGGTCTGCGCTAACTCTTCGGCCGTTCCTGCCTGCTCTTGTCGCCCTGCTGGCGCTGGTGCTGCCGTATCGCACCCCTGTACGCTGACCAGAGGCCTGCTATGGTTACCTTTTTTTTCTCCTGTAGGGTAAGTTTTTAGTTAGCTCATCTCGCTGAATTGAGATGAACGCAAAAGAGGAGATAGGATCAGAGTAATTAGCTTAAATTGACTTTGAACGTACTTCTAAGCTAGAGTATTACATGTAATATTCTTAGTGTAACAAACTTAAATTTTTCCTTTTAGGCAAACACAGGAAACATCCTGGAGGACGTGGTAATGCTGGTGGTTTACACCATCACAGGATTAACTTTGATAAATAGTAAGCTAACTTTTTAAATACATCCTAGCAAAATGTGTGTTCCTAAAGTAGAAACAACTAGCTTTTATATTTGAATAAGCAAAATTCCCTGCAGTCCTATGTAGTTTTTCCTCTAACGTGAAGTGTGGCATTACAGCTGCAGTCAACTTGTGTTCCCCACTTACCCTAAAGTCAAAGACCTTTTCACTTAAACCAGGCGTCTTTAAAAAGAGTTCAGTGCAGTGTGCAGTAAACTTGACCAAATGTACCTGTGATAATGTGGTCCCTGCTAAATGCACACGCAAAATGTTATGTTAAATCTGATCTTCATCCCATTTAGCTGCGTGCTGTCAAGGTAAGGGACGTTATCTTTGCTTGTTGCCGAGACTAGAGTCACATCTGGACACTGCCGGTTGTCCTGGTGTGCTAGAGTGCTCGGACAGTGACCACTAACCTATATTCACTGGCTGGGACCATTCTTGACTCAGTCAGTCACCATGTTAGTGACAGGAGCGCTGAAACTCCACGGGCAGTGCAGCCCTACCTGGGCTCACCGAGTTGGGGCTGCCCTGGAAATACAGGGCTGGGCCAGCCTCACCAGTGATGGGGACTGAGTTGTGAGTGCACGGGAGAACAGACACTTCAAGAGAAAATCATTCTCCCTTGGTTTGGATTCCAGTGATTATTACACTTAAATACTATGTGTATTAATATGACTGTAATGTGAAATTTTAATTAATCAAATAAGATGCTTGTTTCAGTGTTAATTTGCAGTACTACCTTTTCAGGATGAATGGTGTGATCTAATGAGGAGTGCATTTCTTTCACAGTCACCCTGGTTACTTTGGGAAAGTAGGCATGAGACACTATCACTTGAAGAGAAACCAAAAGTTCTGTCCCACTGTCAATTTGGACAAACTGTGGACGCTTGTCAGTGAGCAGACAAGGCTCAATTACGCCAAGAATGAGGCTGGACTGGCCCCAGTCATTGACGTTGTGCGCTCAGTAAGTTTCTGCTCCTGTTCAAACCTGCGATTCCTGGTCACTTCACGTGTAATTTAGCTCTATGTATCCAAGTAGAATAGTGAATTGCAAATAAGCTACAGCGCTTGAATATTTGTAAAATTCTCAGGACGATATCTGGGCTTGTAGGTAGTTACTCGAGGACTTACGCTGTTACGTTTGTTCGTGTAAGAACTTTCTCACGTTTTTGTGTTATTGTGGACAGGGCCTTCCCTTATTTTGGAAGGTGGTGAAAGATTACTTGTTCAAAATGTTACTGCAAACATGCATAAAGCCATGGCAGGACTAGTGACCATGGTATAAAGTCACCTCTCTAATATCGAGACTTGAGTCACACCTTAACATGTTTGATTGTCTTGGTGTGCTATAGCTCTCGGACATAAACTTCTGATCTTTGTTCGCTGGCTGCGACGTCTCGTGCCTCAGCCAGCCACCGAGTCAGTGACACTGCTCTTCCCAAATGAAGACACCTGTGTTGGCCAGTTCTGCCACTGCTTCTAGCAACCGATGACTCTAATAGCTGTAGTATTAATGGACCTTCTGCCATGATTGTCCTTGTAATGTGAAGGACAGGAATGAAATGAGAGGATTCCAGTGGCAGAGAACAGCTGCTGCTGCGAAAGCTGACAGATGTTTCAGTTGTCTAAGATGTGCAGAAGAGTCCCCTGCTCTGTTCAGAAGTACCAGGCTGTCCTGCAGTTGAAGAGCACCGACCAGAAGTCATAGGGTTGTAGGTAGTCTTGGAAGTGCAGCCAACTGCTCTCTCCTTCGGAAAAGTGGGAGAAGGTTGCTGGCATCTTTACCGGAGGTCACGGTGTTTTCTGTATTTGGAGTATGACGAAAAAATATCCAGCTTCTAGATTACAGAAAAAGTTCAGTTTAGAACCTCCACTTTTGCTCTAACCAAATGCAACCCCACTAGGTCACACAGGGGTTTTTTTTGGAGACAGGCACTGAATGAGGTCATGGTGATCATGATTTTGGCTTTAACTGGTGCACCATAAAAGATAGGTCTGAACGTAGGAGCCCGCAAGCTGAGGACAAACACTTAATGGCTTATTTACTCTTTCTAGGGCTACTACAAAGTCCTGGGCAAGGGGAAGCTGCCCAAGCAGCCAGTAATTGTGAAAGCAAAGTTCTTCAGTCGAAGAGCAGAGGAGAAGATCAAGGAAGTTGGTGGTGCCTGTGTGCTGGTGGCATGAAAGCCTTTGTTTTATTCAAAGAATTGGAATAAAGACAATGTGTAAAAATGTGCCGGTTCGCAGAAGTTCCTGGTGATTTCTCCTGGCCTGGCCAGGCCGTTCTGGCAGTTTGCTGCTGTCCCTGACGCGCGCGGGTGCCTCG